AGGCCGGCGCGGCGGCGGGTGATGTCAGCGCGGCCCCCGGGCCGCCCCCGGCCCTCCCTGGGGCCGCCGCTCCGGCCCCGCCACCATATTTGGGGAAAGACTCCGAAAGCCGGTGACTAAGGCCCGTGCGCGGAGCATTCCCCGCGTGCCTGGGCGCCGCGCGCGCGGCCCCGCGCCCCCCAACTTACTCCTTTTATAGGCAGGCGCCCGCGCGSGCGGGCAGCGCGGCTGCTTCGGCCCTGACTTCATGGCTGTGCCGCTGCCCTGCGCGCCTTCCCGGGGGCACCGAGCCCCGGGGGGACGAGGGCGCCCCAAGGAGCGGCCGCCCTCGCCCACTCCCTGCCTGCACCGGCCCCACGGTGCTGCCGACCCGCCAAAGCCACGGGGCCCCCGGCCGGGTGCCCTGCAGCCGGGCGCTGCCAGCAGCTCCYTGGGGACGCGGCCCCGGCCCCAACCCCATCTCCGGGGAGGGGATGCAGCGCAGGCTGCACGGGCAGCTCCGCAGCCACAGGACGGTGCCCGGCGCTGACCTCCCACCCGCCCAGGAGCAGCAGCGCTGCCGCCTGCGTCCTCCCCTGTCCCCCCAAGTCTCCGTAATGAGCAGCCTGTGAGAGGAGGGCAGGGCCGGTGCCCCGCAGCAGCTCCCCAGGGAGTGCGGACCCCACGGCAGCAGCTGGATCCGCAGGCGCCCTTGGGCACTCAGCAGGCCCGGGCGCAGGCTCAGGCGCAGGCTCAGCAGCTAAAGTGCAGACAGACACTTTAATGCATGTCACCTCCCGGCGGAGCCCGCCGCGGACAGCACTTGGCAGCTGCGTGCCGCGGACGGGCAAGTTAGAAAAAGAGTCGAAGTGGCCGCCGAGAGCTTGGGAGAGGCGCGAGGGGCTCGTGGCGCGGCTGGCGGAAGCCAGGCGCATGGTGCCAAGGAGCCGGCGCCACCTCGCTCTCGGTCGGCACTCCCGAGGCACTGAGGAGTCCCGGCACCGCGGTGGGCACCCCGCGGGGCCCGGCGGCACCCCGCGGCCCGGGGCGCTTGGCAGCAAGGCATGGCCCCCAGCGCGGCATCACCGCGCACGTGGGACAGGGACGGCGCGGCCGGCGGCAGCCCGGCACCTGCATCCTGCCCACGGGCCGCCTAGAACACGTAGATCTTGTCCCGCTGCACGCAGTCCAGGTCGTCGTCCAGCGTGAGCAGCACCTGCGGAGCCGCGCGGGAAGGCGTCAGCGGGCGCGGGTGGGGCAGGCGGCCGGGCGGAGCTGCCGGCACCTACCAGGAAGGAGCCGAACATGGCGATGGAGGAGAGGAAGTGCCAGATGTCGTGGTCGTCGAAGAAGTCGAGCAGGATGCAGTCGCGGTTGTGCTCACGGGACTCGGCCGGCGTTTTCTGTGCGGGCGGGCGCGGAGCTCAGCGTGCTGGCCCCGCGGGCGCCCGCGCATCGCCCGCCCGCCTGCCACTTACCTGCCAGGTGCTGAGGCCCTGGAAGAAGAAGAAGAGCGCGAAGCCCCACACCACGGAGGTGCAGACGATGCAGAGCAGCGGGATGAGCTGGATGCGCTCGCCGCTGCGCAGCTGTGAGGGTGCACAGGGCTGAGCACGCCCGCGGGCAGCCCCGTGGCGCCGCGCGCCCGTCCCGCCGGGCCCCGCGCACCTTCATGATGATGTAGAAGGCAAAGTAGAGCAGGAGGTTGCAGATGCCGATGGCCAGCAGGTAGGAGGCGAAGTCGTTGGGGCGCACGATGAGGCCGTAGGCAGCGCTGCGSGGGCGGCAGCGTCAGCTCGGCCCGGTGTCCCCGGGCCGCACGCYGCCGTCCCCCGGGAACAACAGTGCTGCACCGGCGGGGCACTTACAGCGACCAGTTGATGATGTTGCCCATGATGAGGAGCACCATGCGATCCTGCAAGGCGGGCGAGGGGCTGAGGGGCCGCCCCTGGGCGGGCGGGCAGCCCCGTGGGCCTGCCGCGGTGGCCACGGTCCCCATCACTCACCACGTACATGGGCCCGCTGCACTGGCGCACGCAGTCCGTGTAGAGCACGTGCACGATGCGGCGCAGGATGCCCGAGTCTGCGGGGAGGCAGGTGCAGGGGAGCCCCCGCGCGCTCAGCRCCCGCCGTGCCATGCGCCCGCGCCCGCCACCGGCCCCGGCCCTCACCCAGCTTCCAGCGCCCCATGTAGTAGAGCTGGGTGCTCAGCAGCAGCGTGGCCGTGATGTGGATGACGGAGAAGACGATCCAGAAGGCCGTGTTGCCCTTGCCGAACACCTGGGGGAGGGCAGGCTGAGCCGGGCGCGGCGGCAGCGCGGCGCCCACGGAGCCGCCCTGCGCCCGCGCTCACCACGCCGACCACGGAGAAGAAGATGACGATGGCCAGGCAGGCGTAGGCGCTGTAGGCGCTGGCGTTGATGTCCGGGTGCCGCTTCTGGTAGAGCTTGAGCATGCAGAGCCCGGCGATCATGTACATGAAGGAGGTGTCTGCGGCAGCGGGAGCGCTGAGCGGCCGCGCGGCACGGGKCGGTGTGCGCACGCCCGCCGCGCCGCTCACCGAACTGGAAGTTGGTGTAGTTGGGGCACACGTGGTAGCAGGCGCTCAGCAGCCCCTCCATCATGAGCGCCGTGCCCATGGCGTAGAAGAGGCCGAAGTGCTTGGGGATGCCGCACTCCTGCGGGCGGCAGAGCGGGGGCAGCGGCGGCCGCGGGACCCGTGGCGCGGGGCGCGCGGCGGCACCCGCCTTACCAGGGCGTGCGTGTCGTTGCGCAGGAGCGCGCGGTTGTAGTTGATCTCCCGCTGCAGGATGATGAGCAGGAAGAGCAGGCCGAGCAGGACGTAGCCCAGGTTGCTGAGGATGTTGTTGAAGGCGCTGGCGGGAGGCGCGGGGCCGTGAGCGCTGCGGCGGGGCCCGCGCGCCCTGCCCGCCCCGGCCCTGCCTACCTGAGGTTGCCCAGCGGGTGGGCGCAGAGGAAGTTGTAGTAGCAGATGTCCTGGTTGCCCGTGACGTTCACCACCTGCTCGCGGGCGGCGCGGCGTGGGCGYGGGCAGCCGGGCGGCGGCGGCGCGTGCGCGGCACACCCGGCGCTGCCCCTTACCGTCTGGTACGTGATGACGAGCTGGAT